AGACCACCACATGTGGTAGTAGGTTCCTTTTTGCAGTTTACAATTCCAGCAGGTTGGAAAGGTGTTCGGAAACATTTGTGCTAAACGGGCGAGGGGAAGGTGCCACCTATAGAACATTTTGTACATGTTCTCTTTATACATTGTTAGTTTATAATTTACTTTCCATAGTTTTTCCCATTTTTCCAATTCAATGTTATATCCGAAATTTTTCGCCCAAATTATCATATTTTTGTTGACCACTTCTTCTAATTTAATTCTTAGTAGATAATTATAGGTTTTGGTTATCAATTTATCATCTGCCCCTTGTAAAATTTTGTCCAATACATATGGCTCTTTTTGGAATCTGAATTGTACTGAATCTGTCTTATACCTGGATTTTTTCTGTAAATATGGCCACCAGTCAATGTCTGTACCCTGTTCTTTTAGTTTTTGTCTTGATTTTAATTCCCCTTTGCTATTTAACAAATCTTTGTAAGTTTTCATTTTGTCTATATCCATAGCATTGGGGTAGATCTATGCCTCCATGATCAATAGCCATTCTGGAATTTTGTCATAGTGTACTTTTTTTACTTCTTGCCAAGTTTTTAACAATGATTCTCTAATAATATGCCGTTGAAAGTATCCATATTGTTTGTCTCTTCCCTCTCACAGAAATGTGTGCCAGCCTCTTTGTAAATCAAAACCCTTTAGTGTTAATATTCTTTTATTTTTGAGTTCTATCCAGTCTTTTATCCAAATCAATGATGCAGCTTTGTAATACATTTCCCAATCTGGTAGTCCTAATCCTCCATTCTCTCGTTTATCTTGTAGGTGTTTTGTTTTGATCCTTGCTTTCCTCCCCTGCCAAATGTAATTTGCGATCATTTTATTAAAATCTTTGAAGAAATCCTTCCCAGGCCTTATCGGGATTACTTGGAACAAATATAGAATTCTGGGTAATATTCATTTCAATCGATGCAATCTTTCCCACAAATGATAATTGTAACTTACTCCACGTTTCTAAATTCTTTTTTATCCGTCTTGTCAATTTATCATAATTATCTTTTCTAATTGATGATCCTTTGTTGGTAAGCCAGATTCCTAAATATTTTACCTTTTTTACTGTTTGTACTCCCAATTTATCTTCTAATTCTTTCTCTTGTTGGTTGGTAAGATTCTTCGTTAATGCCTTTGTTTTTTGTTTATTTATTTTAAGTCCGGCCACTCTTCCATACTCTATTTTTGCTAATAATTTAGTTCCTATTGATGCTGGTTGTTCTAAAATAAAGACCACATCGTCCGCGAAGGCTTGGAGTTTATACTCCTCTTTTCTGATTCTCAATCCTTTTATTTATTTATCCTTTCTGATTTCATTTAATAACGTTTCTAGAGATAATATAAACAGTAAAGGGGATAGGGGACATCCCTGTCTCACTCCTTTTGATACTTTGAATTGTTCTGTCATATCTCCATTTATCATTATCCTTGCAGTTTGAGAGAAATAAATCTTCTTAATCATATTTAAAAATTTGTCGCCGAATTTCATATTTTCCAATTGTAATATGAGAAATTTCCAATTTAGATTGTCGAAAGCTTTCTGTGCGTCTAAAAAAATTAATGCCAATTGTTTATCTGAGTTTTTTTCATAGTATTCTAAAACATCAATTATTAGTCTCATATTGTTTTGGCCTGGGTGGATGTGGTCGTTAATTATTCTTTTCAGTCTCTCTGTAATAATCAGTGTAAATAGTTTATAATCTACGTTTAGAAGTGATATTGGCCTGTAGTTTTTGATTTGTGTTTGGTCTGTTTCTTCTTTTGGAATAAGTGTGATGATAGCTTCAGTCCAAGATTTGGGAATTGTAGCTTTTAAAAGTGTGTCGTTAAAAATATCAAGTAAGATTTCATCCATTGGGTATTGACATGTTTTGTAGAATTCTGTTGGTATCCCATCTGGTCCTGGAGTTTTATTGTTTTTTTGTTTTTTCCTTGCCTCTATTAATTCTGTCATGGTGATTGGTCTACTCAGTAGCTCTCGCTGTGTCTCTTCTAATCCTTGGATGCTTGTTTTGTCTATTCTTTAATATCTTCTTCCAAGATCTCTTCTTGTTCATATAAATTCTGAATTTTTTTTGCTATTCGCTTTTTATCTATTTCTATGGTACACTTCTCCTGCCTCATCTTGCAGTTGGTGTATTGTTCTCTTCTCTTTTTTCAATTTGTACGCTATTCAATTTGTCTTATTTGCGTGTTCGAAATGGTTCTGTTTTAATTTTCCTTGCTATTTCTGTTTGTGTAATTAAATTAATCTTATGTTTTGTCAGGTTTACTTTTCCTTTAATTGATTTGTTTTGAGGTTCTTTCTGCAACTCTGATTCATATTTTTCAAGTTCTGTTAACAAATTGTCTCTTACTTGTTGTTTATCTTTAATTTTCTTCACCGTGTATGCGATTGTCAAACCTCTTATATAGGCTTTTGCCGTATCCCATAAGTTTTGGAGTGAGGTTTGTTCTTTTGTATTTATCTTAAAGAATATAGTCATTTCTTTCTCAATCATTTGTGAATAATCTTTGTCTTTTAATATTTCCTTGTTCATCATCCATCTTCTCTTTCTTCGATATCCTTTCAATATCCTTACAGGACTATGGTCCGCCCAAGTATTTGTCAATATTTCAACTTCCTCCACGTCTTTTCTAAGTTCTGTGGTCATCCAGGCCATATCTATTCTAGATCACGATTGATGTGGGCTAGAATAGAATGTGTATTTTTTTTTCTTTATTCACCTCCCTCCATGCATCTTATAGCTGTAATTCCTGTGCCATATCTTTAAATGTGTCTGTAAGTGTCTTTTTCCTAGTTTTGTTCTTCTTATTACTCTGATAGTCTTTTTCCATGTCCGTGATCGTGTTAAAGTCCCCAATAATACAAATTGGGATTCACAACTTGATTGTTAAGCAAGCTTAATGATAAAGTGAAAAATAACATAATCACTATTATGCTTACAATTTTGAGCTTTTCTTTTCTTTAGAGAATCAGAAGAATATGACCTCCAAATGAACTCAAACAGCAAGGAAGGTTTCCAGAACTGGACTTACAAGGAAGCAGAGTAAAAGAGCAAATCTTTCAGCACTCCCCCGCCCTTTGGAATACTCACACTGACACTGGCATAATTAGCAAGAAGAGATTTAATGTTTCTTATTTACATTTATTAGCGATGAAGGGATTGCAAGTGAGTAAATAAGCAAACTATGATGAATATACAAAAAAATGAAGGTTTTGGTGCAGACTGTTTGCCTTAGGAGCAAAAAAAAAAAAAATCCTTGGTATGAAATTGGTTAGTTCTAACCAGCTAAATAAGATTGCTGAGCTTGTTAACCTGCTATTAGCATCTTTTAGAGACAAAGCTGCACTGTTGAGAAAAGCAGCTCAGGAAGAGATAGCTTCTTTAGGTAATCTCGCACTCTACGAGAGTTGAGTAATGGAAAAACAAAAGCGGTTAGGCACAGGACAACAGGTACTAACTGGTTGCAATAGAAAACTCATAATTAAGAAAGATACTGCATTGGTCATTAATGGAGGCATTGGTTGCAAAGTTACTTTTTCATCACTGTCACAACTGTGAAAGCTCACAGTCCAAGACAGTCACTAAACAAGGACTACCTGCATCTTCATGACAACCAGGCCAATGAGTTAATGTACTAGTGTTACCAACTAATTATGTCTATTTATATGCTATAAGAATTAAAGATTTTACAATAATTTATGCTTCTGGGTATATTTAGATTTTAACACTGCATCTGAAGTATTATTACCAAAAAGATATCTTTTTAAATTATTGTGCAAACCATTACAAATAACAAACAAAATTGTGCAATATACTTTAGATATTGTTGAATAAATAAAGGTATCACTGTGATGGAACACAGTCCAGTCGCAGGAAGGAAAGACTCATTTCCAGCTAAAAAGCATGAAAACTTTGGTATTTATTTTTTATTTATGAAGGAAATATGTGAAAGCGAACCCAAGCTAATAGTTTACAGGGTACATTTAATGAGTTAGGAGGTAAGTGCTTTAGTCTGACAAAATTTATGTCTATAGGCAAGCAGCAATAAAGAAACTACTTTGAAATAATTCCTCATGTTGTTCCTTCCTTTTCATATTATGAAAAAAATATTACTGTAAAACAACCCTGAAAATGAATGTTAGTTAATTTAAACCCATTGATTTAAATCAGCTACCTTAAATATAAGTTTGATGCTAACCTGGTATAAACCAACTTGGAATAAAAAATAAGTATTACCGCATCCTTAAAGGTCATGGAAGATTTTTTTAAATTCAGCATCTTTTATTAAGTTTTGTTTATGATATATTTTCACAATAGGATAGGATAGGATAGGATAGGATAGGATAGGATAGGATAGAATAGGATAGAATAGGATAGAATTCTTTATTGGCCTAGTGTGATTGGACACACAAAGAATTTGTCTTGGTGCATATGCTCTCAGTGTACATAGAAGAAAAGATACATTCGTCAAAAATCATAAGGTACAACACTTAATGATAGTCAAAGGGAACAAATAAGCAATCAAGCCCTGGTGGTGCAGCAGACTAAAGCACTGTTATTAACACCAGCTGCCTACAATTACTGCAAGTTCAAATCTCACCAGGCCTCAGCCTTCCATCCTTTCTAAGGTAGGTAAAATGAGGACCCGAATTGTGGGGGCAATAAGCTGACTTTGTATAAATATACCAAAGTATGAAGGCTATTGCTTAACGCATTGTAAGCCGCCCTGAGTCTCCGGAGAAGGGCGGCATATAAATCAAATAAAAAAAAAAATCAAATCTTATTAGGAAACACTCAATAAATCGTAAGGATACCAGCAACAAGGTTACAGTCATACAGTCATAAGTGGGAGGAGATGTGTGATAGGAACGATGAGAAGATTAATAGTAATGCAGATTTAGTAACTAGTTTAACTTCCAAAAAGAACACATAGTTTTAAATTAATATTAAACTTACCTCTCTTCAGAGCTGTACAGGCGAGCAAGACCAAAATCTGCAAGCTTGATCTGCCCTCTAGTGGAAACAGTAAATTTTGTTTGAATTGAATATTATCCATAGTATTTATATTTAATTCAATTTTAAGGAGTTTTTTTGCTTTGGACCCACCAAAACTCTTTGCAGTACAATCCTCATGCATAAAATTCAAAACTAAGTTTTACTCTTCCACCATAAAAAGTTATGTTCTTATGATTTAATGTTGCAAACATGAAGTCAAAAATGAGAAAAATAAAGCATTAAAAAGTAGTAACAAATCATTTCAATACTTAAAAACATGTTACTGTAATGTTGTAAGATTAATTATCCATTTATTTTTATAACTTAATGTTTCAATTCTCAAAAATTTTGACACCTACTGCATGCCACTTTTTAATTAGTTTCTCTAACTGTTATATAGTTAAAACAATATTTTAAAAGCACATAAAATACAAATATAATAAATAATCATAGTAGAGCAGGAAAAAAGTTCCTAAAAATTACTGTAGAATTTACATGGAATGTAAACTAATTAAACCCAACTCTCAACAGTCCCAAGCATGATAGGTATTACTGAACAACACCAGAAATGGTACTTTAGCATCCCAGTGTGAGCACTGGAGGACTATAAGTTGTTCTCAATAAATACATGCATACAATATGTCATTAATCTAGCTGTGTGTATGTATCACTATGTACAGGTGAAAAAAAAGGTTCCTTGGGAAATGAAAAACACAATCCTACTACTCAAATGCAGAGTTCAGTACACACAGGACAAGTCCTATTTTTTGTCATAATTTATTGATCCTATGGAAGTTACATAACATCTCTAATCTTAAAATTAGAGTAGAGAGCTTCTGCAGAATCCTTATGGGTTGTATTTAGCCTAAAAATATTCTGATTAAATCAATTGGAAATTTAATCATGACTTAGAAAAACTCACTGCTTTTATACATCTATTCCAAACAGAAGCCTAAAATGAACTCTAGATTCATATTAGTTATGCATTCAAATAAATGAAATGCTAAAGTCTAGAATAGAGTAGGAGTAGGAATAGGAGTCGGAGTCGGAGTAGTAGACTAGAGTACTTTAGACAGAGTAGAGTAGAGCAGAATAGAATAGAATAGGAATAGAATAGAAGAACAGAACAGAACAGAAAGGGACTTTAGAGGTCTTCTAGTCCAGCCTCCCGCTCAAGCAGGAGAACCTATATCATTTCAGATAAGTGACTGTCTAGTCTCTTCTTAAAAACATCCAGTGATGGAGCGCCCACGATTTCTGCAGGCAAGCTGTTCCACTAGTTAATTGTCCTCATTGTTAGGAAGTTTCTCCTTAATTCCAGGTTGCTTCTCTCTTTAATTAGTTCCAATCATTATTTCTTGTCCTGCCCTCTGGTGCTTTAGAGAATAATTTGACCCCCTCTTCTATGTTGCAGATCCTCAAATACTGGAATATTGCTATCATGTCACCCCTAATTATTCTTTTCTTTAGACTAGCCAAACCCAAATCCTGCAGCTACTATTTTTTAGTGTCCAGGCCTTTGATCATCTTAGTTGCTCTTCTCTGAATTTTTTCCAAAGTCTCAACATCTTTCTTGTAGTATGGTGACCAAAATTGGTTGCAGTATTCCAGATGTGGTCTTACTAGGGTTTTATAAAGCAGTACTAATACTTCACGTGATTTTGATTCTATGCCTCTGTTTATACAATCCAGGATTATATTAGCTTTTTTGGCTGCTGCTGCACACTGCTGGCTCATATTCAAGTGATCATCCACTAGGACTCGAAGATCTCTCTCATAGTTACTGTTTTTGGGACAAGTCTCACCTAATCTGTACTTACACCTTTGATTTTTTCCTGCCTAAATGTAAAACTTTGCTTTTCTCCATATTAAAATTCATTTTGTTGGATAGAGCCCATTGTTCAAGTTTGTCAAGAACTTTTTGGATCCTGAGCTTGTCTTCTGGAGTGTTGGCTATTCCTGTCAGTTTACTGTCATCTGCAAATTTGATGAGTTCCCATTCTATTCCTTCATCTTACTCATTTATGAAGATTTTGAAGAGTATTGGACCCAATTTTTTAGTATCTCCAGCAGTTTGAACAAAAAATGCACTATGTGTATCAATAAAATGTTATTATTTGAAAATAAATTTACAAACTATATTTTATTTCATTTCTAAATTTTGGAAATATATTTTTTATAAAATTGGATGATTACCTGTTGTTTAGTAAGATGTTAGAACATTTAATATCTCGATGTAAGAAATTCTTCTTATGGCAATAATCCAAGCCTTCCATCAACTGTCTCATGAAAGATTTAATATGACTTTCATCAAAATGAACCAAGCCAGATTCCAGAAGCCCCATGAGATCATGATCCATATATTCAAATACAAGGTAGAAAGCACCTGGAAGAAATTACAATAATTTATATATCTAGTTTAATTTTAAAGATTATCACCGTTTATTCAAACTATAGCTGTGGCTTCACTATCAGAATTCATATACATATTAACACTTACTTAATATATATTCCCTGGAATACTTTGTAGAAAGAGAGGAGACATTTAATTTTTAAATATCCTTATCTCATCAATCATCTTAAATACTATAGTGAAACAATACAAAATATATTCTGATTTAAGAGTTTGTTTATAAAATCACAACAAAAGTATAAAATTAAAAAGAAAAGGAAAATAAGTATTTCTAAGATGGATTAAAGGATGAAAATTGAGCTAAAGTAACAGGGAAAATACAGGTGGTCCTCGAGTTACAATCACTTGTTCAGTGACTCGTCAAAGTTAACAACAAGGCTGAGCAAGTAGTACTTATGACTCATCCTCAAAGTTCTGCCTATCACAACTCTCCTTGTGTTTATGGTATCACAATTTGTGCACTTGGCAACTAGTTCAGATTGCATTGCCCCACAATCACATGATCAACATTTGCAATCTTCCCTGCTAGCTTCCCACAAGCAGTCAAAAGGGAAGCTGACAGAGAAGGCCACAAGTTGCTCCTATACGTTGCTTTTGCCATTTTTATTCCCAAATTGTCCTATTACAGCGTATGAGATCCGAGTCACATATTCAACTTGCCTGTGACCTCCCAACCCACCCATATATCATAGCGACTATGTGTGGCATCCCCCCCACACTCCATAATGTTTGCCTGGTTGCGCCTAGGACTCTTGCCTTCTCATACTTAATGACCCATACAGTCCTGGGATTATGATGATAACTGGGACTTCCATCACTAAGCAATGCAGTCACATCACATTACATTCTGGTCCCAACTGCCATCAAAACCCAAGGTCTACCTATAAATGAATATCAAATTGAACAACATTTATGTGTATAGGTAGTCCTTGACTTATAACATTTCATTTCGTAACTGTTTAGGTGACTTAGGACCATTTTAGGACAATCATTGCAGCATCCCCACGTGATCAAAATTCAACTGCTTGGCAACTGACTCATATTTATGATAGTTTTAGTGTCCTGAGGTCATGTGATCACCTTTTCCACCTTGCTTTCTGATAAGCAAAGTCAATGGGATGCCAGATTCACTTAACAACCATGTTATTAACTTAACAACTGAAGTAATTCACTTAACTGTGGCAAGAAAGATCATAAAATGAGGCAAAAGTCACTTAATAACTGTCTTGCTTAGCAACAGAAATGTTGGATTCAATTGTGGTCATAAATTGAGGACTATCTATATTTATAGACATATAGATACATACAGAGCAATAGCAAGATAGTAAACTCAATAGCCTTTCCTTTACCGTCTGTGAAAAGTGAACTGCGCAACTACTAAATTTAAAGTTACTGACATTAACTAGCAACAAATACAATAATATTTAACACCTTTGTTAAAGATTTTAGTGGAGATGTCTCCAAATGAAATGTGTCGTTTCATTCAAGCAATCTTTTATGGCCATCAGGAAAAGAGTGTATCCGAACTGACTACAAATTCTAGTATAATATGCAATGCAGCAGATTATGAGATATTGACTCAATGGTTACCTTAGAACATAGGCCATAGGGTCTAAAGATAAAATATTAATAATTGGCTTTCACAAGTTTCAACAGTATGGTATTATATCCTTAAGAAAGAGAGTAACTTACATAGTGGGGAATAGCTAATGGACTGAGATAAACATTCTCTAATGTATAGCTTTCAATTTTGGATCTATCAGTTTGTAAATTAAAATACTAAATACATTATTTTACCTTAAAAATAGTACTCCAGTTTCTCTTCAGACAGTATCAATCTTTTGTCCCCATGTGAGGATAAAGGCAATCATTCACTGAACTGAAAAAACCTTGACTTTTAAACAACAGAATACTTTTCTCCTCATTTCAGAGCAGCTATTGCAGCATCACCATTTATAGTATGTTCAAGTTCCAGAAAATAATTCTGAACTTTTACCATTATCCCTTGGTTAAACAAAAATAAATTCTACCTTCCCTCTCCAGCCCACTTTCCATCTTGGAATTTATCAAGATCTGGAGAACAGTCTTTATTGCAATATAAAAATAAAAAGATATACGACATTAAGGATTCTTTTCAAGTTTAAATCTAGTCTATTTTTTAGGTTTCTGTCATTTTAAATTCTAGACGTTTTAGTCAAAAATAGTTCAACCAAAAACATAGTACCCAGAAATCCAAACAACATTAGGAACTAGAATTAATTACTTTCTTCATAAGAATGTATCAAGAACGATCCAAGATTCCTCCCACTGCTGTCTGTACCATCACCACATTATTTTAAAGAGAAATGTTTGGGGGACAAATATTGGGCCATCTGGAAACATCACCTTCTTCTCCTATTTTATGAAAGATAAGTCTATGAAGCAACTGGACTTCCTGGTTTTTTTTTGTGAAGATGTTTTGTTTCTTATCCAAGCAGCTTCTTCAACTCTATCTGAAAGAATATCTTCAAAGAAAAACCAAAAAGTCCAGTTGCCTCTTGAAAAAGCAGTTTTGGGACCACCATGACCTGGATGATTGAAAATCTCCACAGATTTAAGTCTATGAATTTACCTTTTATCTTAATTTAATATTTTGTATTAAACATTGTATTATCCACATATCATGTATATGTACAGGTAGTCCTCAACTTACAACAGTTCATTTAGTGACCTTCAAAGTTACAACAGCACTGAAAAAAGTGACTTATGACCGTTTTTCACAGTTACAACCTTTGCAGCATCCACATGATTTACATTCAGGTGCTTGACAACTGGTTCATATTTATAACTGTTGCTGTCCCAAGATCATGTGATCCCCTTTTGAACCTTCTACAAGCAAAGTCAATGGAGAAGCCAGATTCACTTAACAACCGAGTTACTAACTTATCAACTGCAGTGATTCACTTAACAATTGAGCAAGAAAGGTCATAAAATGGGGCAAAACTCACTTAACAAATTTCTCACTTAACAACAGAAATTTTGGGCTCAATTGTGGTCATATTCCTGTATAGGCAGAGTTATAGGCATGCTGATGTTTTACTTAAATTTGTATATCAGTGATTGCATGACCTCTATAGATGCTCACTCCAGGAGTTTGATCCTGACCTGCTCAAGATTGACTCAGCCTTCTATCCTTCCAAGATTGGTAAAATGAGGACCCAGACTGTTGGGGGCAATATGCTGACTCTGTAAACCGCTTAGGCTGTAAAGCACCATGAAGCAGTATATAAATCTAAGTGCTATTGCTATAATGAATAATAAGTAAATATGCATTTACCCCAATTCCTTTCTCCTTGTCAATCTTTCATTTATTCAAAAACAGGTGCATAAGCCCAAGCTAACAAAATATGCTTTCAATGTACCCTACTGTATTTTGACAAACCCCAGAATTTCATCAAAATGGTAAAAAAAAAAAAGTCAGAATAAGTTCTTCCAGACAGTAAATCGCAAATACATACTTAAGAAACTCACTTAAGATAGTCCACTACATGTATTTTGCACCTTTTATTTTCTTTTCTATTTCCATTAAACAGATCTGGGAGGCACAATCAAGATTGTATTCCAACTTCAGGGAACTTTGTTGTAAACACGTGTATGAAAAAGAAACAAGCCATAGCAAACTTCAGGTTTGCACTGTCCTATCCTCCTCCTTCCAGATGGCCAAGAGGAGGCAACTGGAAGCTTTCACTTCCATTCTTAATTAACAACAGTTCTGGGTCTGGAAAATAAAATACAATTAATTTTAACCAAAGTTATTTAAACAGGCACAGATTTCCTATGATAGAATACTTGAAACACCCTGAGTTTTTTTTGTATTTGAAACATACAACACACAAGGTACTCAGTTCCACTGATTGTATTTTGGCTGGTATGAAACAATTGTTAACCAAGTATATTAGCACAGATAGCATAACAAATTACAGTTAATAAAAAGTGTGTGTGTGTGTGTGTGTGTGTGTGTGTGTGTGTGTGTGTGTGTATGTATGTAAAAACTTTTGAACTCTAACCATAGTTTTTTGGAACAAACACTGTTGTTCAAAAAGATTTGAACTCCTCCAGATAAGTAGAGGTTGAAAAATTGCTTCCTCTCATGAGGAAATCACAAGGCAGGAGTCAACTTGTGGGTTTGACTTCTAGGTGATAAGGAATGACAAAAAGCCCTCAATTGCATCAGAGCCTTTATTACTATTGTTAAAAATTCTAATAAATAGATTTTTTTAAAAAGCCTTTGATTTCCAATTCCTTTCCCATTTTTTAACGAACCTTTTAATATCATAGATCAATGAATCCTTTTAATCGGGAGAAGTGGGGAAAATAGTCAATTCCAAGATATTGGAAATGCAATCAGAAGTAATAGAGAGGTAAAGGAAGTCATATATTTATGACTGTTTTCTCATGCCCAAAACTATCAAGATCCAATTTAAGAGTTTGAAATGACTAAGAAATTAATTGTGACTTATTAAAATGCAGTATTAAAATGTCACAGGCAAAAGCCTCTCATAATTTTACAATATGTATGTAATCTCTAATTCACAATTTCTTTAACAAGAGCTAGGAAAAAATCTAAATAAAAGCAGTTTCATGGTGACTGTATTTTCTCTAAATACATCCACTTAGGTATACAGAGAACTACTGAAACAAAACCAGCTAAGTATCTTTGTTAATGAATAACCAAACATCAGTTTCTCCATGTTTACCCATTCTTGAACTATTAATTCCAAGAGGATTGCATATAGGATTTCATATAGGATGAAAACAGAAAAAAATAACAATAACACTTTCTCTGATATTAATAACTGTCAGTGAAATTTTCCAAATTGCAGGATTGTAGCAACGCCCCAGAATATCTGCAAGTTAATATAACAATTTCTTCACAATGATAAAAGGTCTACAAATTATCAAAACAGAAAAATAGATGCAGACTGCCCTGTCTT